AACGACTCGCCACCATTCTCCCGGCGTTGTTGCGAACATCTATTTCTGCTGCTGCCGCTGTCGTCGTCGTTGTTGTCGTTGTTACTACCACCATTGTTATCGGTGCCGTTGTTTCAGAATCGACAGGCAAAGTTATTCGAGGAGGAGCGACAGGGGGGGGGGGTGGTGGTTAGGGGTGGTTAGGCTCGCCGGGCGGCCATGGACAACTTTCAGAAGGTGGAGAAGATCGGAGAGGGCACGTACGGCGTGGTGTACAAGGCGCGCAACAAGCTCACGGGCGAAGCTGTGGCCCTCAAGAAGATTCGACTCGACACGTAACGCGGCCTCTCTCGATCCCACACACAACCCCACCCCCTGTGCCACCAGCAGCAGCAGCATTTGGGAGTGAAGGCCGCGCTTCGGCTTGCCTTTTCAGCCCCTTTGTCTTCTCTCAGGCGCGATGGAGGCTTGAACACCCCCCCCCCCACACACACTGGTTGTACTGCCGGATTTAGAGATAGATGGTGGAGTGGTTTAGCGCACTGCGCTGTTAAATTGTCCGCCTGGAGTTGGATTCCTGGCAACGATTGAAACCAGTGGAAGTTACACCTGGAACTCGTGGGCTCCGAGTCGGATAGGGCTCTCGCGTTCTACTCTTGCTGGCTAGCGTGTGCGGTCGACACAACCCATGACCGAAACAACGTAGAGATAGAGGAGGCTTTTGTCCAGCAGTGGACTGATCATGGCTGGGGATGGTGATGAAGAAACTGGAGTTGGAATACGATTGGTGGGGTTAGCCGTGTCGCCAGTCGTATAGTGTTGAATGTGTTGTGGGCTAGACTCCTGTGTGTGTGGTTATTAGGGGCATGCTGCCCATGTGCAGATGTGAGGTCAGTTGCAATGGCTATAATTCACTGTGCCATTTAATTCCCCGTGAAGATCAATGGCAACGTTGTAGTAATTTCAGCTTACAATGCGAATTTTAATTAAATTGTTTCGGGGTGCAAGAGCACAACAAAAACACGTCTGTTGAGACTTGCGGTCTGACCAGGTGAAATCCCTGCTTGCCCCATGCGGCATCTATTATGTGTTAAACATGCATTGATCATCTATATGTCGTACTTTGTAAATCAGGCCTGGTAAGAGAGACTTGTATAAGTGCGCTCGCACCCGCTTATACATAACGTTTCTGTTTGTGTATTTCACTTGTAGAAAGCCTGAAGTGCCATGACAATGAGTGGAGGCAGACTGATATTTATGTGAGACTTTTTGACTAAAGCAAAGAGATTTGCACTCGATACTACGATCTCCTTACCATAGTCAGACTTTTTAAATATAGACTGGTCTGCCCAAACAAATTGGCATATGTTCATATTTCCAGACATCTCGCTTGTGTTCGTATTAAGGGTGTAAGGTACCAGGTGAAATCCCTGCTTGCCCCATGCGGCATCTATTATGTGTTAAACATGCATTGATCATCTATATGTCGTACTTTGTAAAGCAGGCCTGGTAAGAGAGACTTGTATAAGTGCGCTCGCACCCGCTTATACATAAAGTTTCTGTTTGTGTATTTCAGTTGTAGAAAGCCAGAAGTGCCATGACAATGAGTGGAGGCAGACTGATATTTCTGTGAGACGTTTTGACTAAAGCAAAAAGATTTGCACTCGATACTACGATCTCCTTACCATAGTCAGACTTTTTAAATATAGACTGGTCTGCCCAAACAAATTGGCATGTGTTCATATTTCCAGGCATCTCGCTTGTGTTCGTATTAAGGGTGTAAGGTACCTTTGCTGAAGCTCACTGTCACTGGGCGCAGGGGCTGTTTGTGCTCTTAATAAGCATATTATAAGTATGAAGCCAAAATAATGTTGTACTGCATGTGACCTTAGGCCTTAATTTCCAGAATTAAATGATTCAGTGGCACTGATTTTATAAGTGGCAGTCATATTACGGAATGCACAGTGGTTGTGATTTAACATGATTGTATACATTTTACTGTACCATATTGTTTTTATGTACAGGGAGACTGAAGGCGTTCCAAGTACAGCCATCAGAGAGATATCACTTTTGAGGGAACTCAACCACCCAAACATTGTCAGGTGTGAAAAACTGTTCAAATTCATGTGCTTACGTTTTAAACAAAATACTCGTTTTTTACTTTATTGTTTGAGCATCGTGAATCTCGTTTTCTGCTTGGTTAGGCTTCTGACCATAATACACAGCGAGAAGAAACTTTACTTGGTCTTTGAGTTGTTGGATCAGGATCTCAAAAAGTTTATGGATAATGCTACGCCATCAGGAATCCCATTGCCACTGGTGAAAGTAAGATCCTACTGTTATTTTTGTGCAATGTGTACAATTTATGCATACAAATGTAGGAACAAGTTTCTAAAGTACTATGTTTTCCAATATGGCACATTCTTTTTTGACTTTTATTTAATGTTTATCAGAGCTACCTGTATCAGCTGCTACAAGGAATTGCTTTTTGCCATTCCCATCGTATCCTACACCGTGATCTCAAGCCACAGAACCTGCTTATTAATGCCGAAGGTGCGATCAAGCTGGCAGACTTTGGGCTTGCAAGGGCTTTTGGTGTCCCACAGCGCACGTATACGCATGAGGTAAGCGGGCCCATACACTTGCTTGATGATTATACACCTTGAAGATTAGTGTCTTGTGTTCCATTGCGACATTGTACAGCTCTCACACTTTGTCAATAGGTGGTGACCCTTTGGTATCGTGCACCAGAGATCCTGCTAGGTTGCAAGCACTATTCCACATCTGTTGATGTCTGGAGCATTGGCTGCATCTTTGCAGAAATGGTATGTTTCAAAACTCATAACATAAAAAAATACATGTCACTTATTTAGCTCACACCACAGTAACTTTGCAGTAGCCTCAAATTAAACTGTTATAGCTGTATAACATGAGAAAATGTGCATGTTGTTGCTGATGCGAATTAAATGGTCAATAAAGTGCATTGCTCAACCCCGATCACCTATGGTTTAGAATGCCATTAAATGCAGGCCAATGCAGAAATATTGTGACATGCTTTTTTCTTTTTTTATTGAAGCTGACAAGGAGGGCACTGTTCCCCGGAGACTCAGAAATTGATCAATTGTTCCGAATATTTCGGACGCTGGGTACACCAGATGAGGGTGTATGGCCGGGTGTCTCACAACTGCCAGACTACAAGTCGACCTTCCCACGCTGGGCTAATCAGGAGCTTACCAAGGTGGTGCCCACCCTTAACTTCGAAGGAAGGGGCTTGCTTGCTGTGAGTAAATGCCACTCAAATACTTCTTAAGGGTCATGAACAAAGGCATTTTTTCATTTAATTTCACGTTAAATGTTAGAGAAAATTGTATCTAAAACCAAGTGTTGTGCTCTGGGTTATGCTACATGTTAAGAGATGGAATGCTCAACACAACCACCTAACATGGAAAACTGCACTTGGATTACAAGTGACTAGGAAAACCTAACTTTGAAATTGAATTAAAAACCTCACTCTGTCTTTAATTATTTACATGTTAATTTGTTTCTTCAATGTAAAAATCGAAACATGATTAATAGTCATTACTACAGTGATTGTCCTTTGAAGTATATTGTAACAAGATTCAGTTATTGCATGTGCATATAAGATGTAATTTCTGCTAGGCTTATAATTGGATTGCTTTAATTAAATGCAACGCATGTCCTGTGTCTTTTTTTTACAGCTGATGTTGCAGTACGATCCCAACCAAAGAGTCACTGCAAACATGGCTCTCTCGCACTGCTTCTTTCAAAATGTAAAACAGATTGTACCCCAATTGAGATCGTGATTTATCAAGCGTAGCATTCAAAGTCGAGAGTTTGTTCGTCCATGGTGTTTATGGGCATTTGCCATGAAATACACCCCTTAAAGACTTACACATGGTTGTAATTTAGCTTACTGCCATTTGCCTGACAACATTTGCTCTCTCAAGCGAGTCAGAGAGTTGCAGAGTGTGTATTTGTAATGATTATATTACATTCCAGATTCCCAACCTTGGAAAAATATTTTGTTGCTTTCAGTGTTGGAAATTTGCAGACTGTTACATTTTTGAAAAGTTTACAAATTGTAAAATATTACTTCTTAATGCTGTATTGCACAAAAACTACTGTTGAAATCTGTAATGCAATTTATAATAAAATGTTTTTTTCAATTCAAGTTAGAATGTTGTGTCAAACTCTAAGTAAAAGATGATAAATTTGCATAATTGGGTTCACACATGTTTATTCGCCTTTTGGCGTCATCTGGTCCAACACCATGTGAGACGAGGCTCTAAAGAAAGCTGTCTCGGGTGTGGACCAAACAATTTCAAGGACAGTGCATACATTACACGGGTCAACAAATAAAAAAAAATTCTGGCCTGGACTTTTGCAGCTGTTCTAGACTAATTTCAGGGAGCTGATTCCAAATCCAATCTCTGATTTGCTCTATCACATCTCATTTTTATGCTATCGGCATACCCCATTTTCATTGATTTTACCCGAAATTAACTCTCACTTATGATTGCAAGTTGTTGCGAGTCAGTGACTGCTTTAGTGTTAAAATATGGTGCTGTATTTTAAGGATAGTGTGTTTATAATATCAGTTTATGTAGATATTCACATTTATTTTATATTTTTCTTCTGCAGTTTTTATTGAAAATGCAATATTTGATATCTCAAAAACCTGATGTGATAGACGAAAACTGATGCCAGATTTGGAATCGGCACCACAAAATTACCTTGAAACCGCTGGAATACCTTATGCCAGAAAAAGTGTGACCAGTATTATCAGAGTTATGTTTTTGTTTGCATTGACTGCAGGTATTGTGGTCTATGCAAACATGACTCCTTGTAAAAAAAGGTGTCAGTTTTGTTGCCAGATAAAAGGGTAAAACAACAATTATCATATTTTGCTACTGGCAAATGAGATTCCAATGGTGTTTTAATCTCTGCCCAGTGTTAAAATGCGTGCAAGTTCTAAAGTTTTAAACATAAGGAAGAGCAATTATTGCTCAACAGCGCCACACGTGGCCTGACCGTGGTGAGTTGCTGCCAACCCGTTGAGGGTAAGAGGTGCCGATCTGTAATCGATCGTTACATTTTCGTCGCCTTTCGAAGACAAGTGTGAGTATTGAGGTTAAGCTATCGCCGATAATATAACTTTAACATTGCTCTCTACGTTCAAGTGGGGGTCGACAGTTTAAAATTCACCCGAGATCGACACCGTGTAGGCCGCGGCTCAACCCCCCTAATTTTCCTAAATCTCTGGCGGGCTTCGCGACGCAAGACCCGGGGGAGCGTGAAGCGACGTCACCCGCTCGGCACTTTCTCCCCACGCCCCAATCGTATAATTACGGCATTTATTAGGTTGTCCGTGGTGTTTGGACGGTTGATTTGTTTACAGTTGTACATCGACATTGCTCGGCCAAGTGTTTGTGACCGTAAAGTTTAAATTTGTTCGGTAATTGCTGCTGGGAACCGTCGTGTCGTGGGTTGTTGTCGGGAGATGGCCGCTATGGTCCTCGATGTGTGCGAGCTTGTTTCCAACTACACGCTTGCGTATAACATAACCCGATAGTTACTTCGTATTCTAGCAACTTACACGGTTTTTTAAAAAGACAATAAACTAAGGAAGACGTTCACCCGAAGCTTTTGTTTCGACTAATGCACACGTTCGCTTGTTTTTAATTGTTTATGCAGCCTGGTGGTTGTTGAGGGGGGTGGCACATTTCGTGAGTTTCGAGTGGCTTCTTTAACAGTGTGGGATCCGGCCTCTGCTTTTACATGTTTTAAAACAAATTTACTCTTCACAAATCACGCGTTGTGTTCTCTTTAACAGCACTTACGCCGTGTTTGACGTTTATTTACAATAACATTCCGACTACGTGCTTGTGTATACCTCTAAACAGTGCCAAATTAGTGCGATTCGGACGCAGTTAATGTCTTTTTAAAAACAAAAGCTCCATGTGTGACGGATTCTACTTCTATTGCGGATGGGAATTTGTTCAGGTCTCATAACCACGACGAGAGAGCGAGACTGCTTTCAGGAGAGAGTTCGTGTAGTTTTGCAAATTCCTCTTTCGTTGAAGGAACGCAGGCTACGGTGGTTTTTACTTTAGGGAGTCTTTCAATAAAGTTAAGTAGGTATAACATCAAATAAATCACGACGTTTCAATCGCAACACAAGCGGTCATCCTCAGGCGAAAAGAATATAATCCATCAGTGGGAACTGCTGAACCTTCAGCTGCTGGATTCTATTTTTTCTGCCTGAGGACGACCGCTTGCTTGTGTTGCGATTGAAACGTCGTGATTTATTTGATTTTATACCCACGTAACTCTACAGAGAGAACCAAAGAGTATAGTGGTTCAATAAAGTAGTTTGTAATCTCAAAACGACCTTCGTCCGATGGGTTTCTGGCCCTGAAAGACGGGGATTTTTGTGCGGCATTTCGCTCCACTGATCGCATAGCCGCATTCAGATTAATGACTTCCATACATACTATTCGGTAAAGTCACGAAGGTAAAATAATAATATAATAATAAATGAAAATAATAATGAAAATAGTTATTTTCATTTATTATTATTTTGCCTACGTGACTTAAATAATAATAAATTAAAATAATAAATGAAAATAGTTATTTTCAAATAATAAATGAAAATAGTTATTTTCATTTATTATTTTATTTTATAATAAATGAAAATAGTTTATTTTATTATTATAATACATGAAAATAGTTATTTTCATTTATTTTTTACCTACGTGACTTTACCGAAAAAAAACCGAAAGAGTATGAATCTTTGCAGTCACGAAAGCTTCAAATCTAGAATTAATGACTTCCAATTACCGCCGTCGTCTCGGCGTAAACATGCAAAACACGCGGCCTTTAAAACAGGTGGGGCCGCCAGGAAGACGACTAAAACAACCAACATCCCCCGGCCAGAGATTCAAATACATCAACGAACGCAAAGATGATGGGGGAGGGGGTGGCCAGCTGCCCCTGTGTGAAGACGCGTGATTCACGGTGGCACGTGTGGAGGGCATTATAGTCCGTGGCCCCCTTAAAAGGAAAAAGAGTTGCCGGTTTCACAGGCGTGCAGCACCGTTAGAATCTAATAAAAACAAGCACTTTCGCTTTGAATAAGCGAGTTGACATTTCTTTTGGTGCGAAATAATAGGCACAGAGCTGTTGTTTCTCCTTGCTTGCTAATGGAAAGGCAATGGTGCGTGCTGTTTTGGGCAGTGTTTTCCAGATTATAGCTTCAACATGTAATTCATCGTGTGTAGCTTGTTCCATCTCATTTAATATTAATTTAATGAAAGTTACGTTTTGACCTGCTTTTTTTGTTTGGATAAGTTGGAAATACATGGAACTTTGTAAGTAAGCACCTTTTTACAAGCGTTTTCATCAAATAGGACTTTGATTACAACGTTTAACAAGTATCCCAGGAATTCTCACACCAACCACTGGACATAACGTATTGCCCATGTATTAACTGTTCATGGTGCTTATGAAGAAGGGTTATTGGCCAAAACGTTGCCAGTTATATACGTTCTCATTTAAGGCTGCAGTTTTATTGACAAATGTGTTGTTATTTTTGTGCATTGTGATTGCGCAGCATTTGCAAATGCAGCATCGCAAACTTGAGATGTATTGGGAGCCTATGTTTTCTCTTCATGGATGCAGATCATGAACGGGTTGGGTGCAGACGATTGTCATGTTGAGGACATTTTGCGACTCAACGTTGGTGGAGTGGCCATGACTGCTCGACGGCAATCTTTGTGCCGATACAAAGATTCCATGCTCGGTGCAATGTTCAGTGGCCGCTTCCCATTGAAACAAGACAGCACAGGTTGAAATAAGCCATCCTCTTTCTCACTATTCATCGTTATTACCAGCCCCTCACATGAGAAAAAAATGGTTTTATTTGTATATTGTTTAAAAGTGATTTTAACTTTCCTATACTTTGCACTCCTATTGTGTTTTTGTATTTGTTATTTTAAGGTTCTTACCTGCCCCTACTGAATATCTGTGATAATCTTGATTTGAAGCTTTCGTGACTGCAGGAATCCATACTCTTTGTATCTGTGATAATATTTTTTTTTATAGCCCATTGGATTTCTCCAGTCTAAATAAATATTCTTATCCTGAATTCTCATTACAGGATGGGGCAGGCCCTCAACTGGCAGTGGATTGACAAAAGTTTGGTTCATGTTAAACTTTGTAAAACTACTCGAAGAATAACGCAACGTTTGTTTCACACAGGTGCCTGTGTAATTGAACGGGATGGACAACTCTTTAAGTACCTGTTGGATTACCTGCATGGAGTGCTGAGGATTCCTACTGATGAGAAAACCCGACTTGCCCTGCAGGGGGAGGCAGACTACTTTGGAATCCCATATCCATACTCCTTGTCTGGACATCTGCAGCATGAAATAGATACTTACCGGTCCAGGGGAAAGGTGGACACTCCTCAGGTATGACTGTAGTCTTAAGATGATTGGACATGTGCTGCTTGTGTGCAAACAAAAAGGGAAGTACTGGAAAACGAATAGCATACAAAATGTAAGGACAATCCAATTTGATAGTAAAGTACTATTCATATGCCTATTTAATACTCTTCAGATTTTTTTTTATTCTCATCAGAGCCCCATACAGTTAACTGAATAGTGATGTCTCCACAACTGTTATTCACTCATTTATTTACCCTATCTGTCCTGTAGTGTGCTATGTGTCTCTTGTTATTTGTGCAGTATCACCAAATACATTTACGATGGCAGATTATTTTCCAAGGATTATGAGCATCCAAAAAGTTTAAGTCACCCACCATATAAAAGATGTATGGTACTATTGAAGTTGTTCTCGTATCACTCTAATTGACGGATTATCCATGATATTGAATGTGCTCCATTCCAACGGTAAACCAACTTCAAGACCTTAGCACAGAAGCCTTCCTTCTGACATGTCCTGAACTGAGTGTATGTGGCCATGTCAACCTCTTCAGCTGATCCAAAAGAGCTTCCGGTTAACTGATTTTTGTTTATTTTTGGGAACAAATGAAAGTCCCATGGACTTAAATCTCATGAAAATGATTAACGAGGTAGAACTTACCACTCCCAGGACTCCAAAATGTTGCGAACATTCATACATCTTTTGAAAAATTTCCTAATTATTCCGTGCAAACTTTTATCATTAGGAAACAACAACCATGCATTAATGTAATAACAAATTATATGTCTTCAGGGCTTTCTTTGTTCAGCAAATATAGGACGATGCACAACCAGGTTGTAGGCTGCTGCGGGACTACTTGATGAACAACAAGGGCAGCACAGAAAAATGTATTGTTGCACTGTACCTCTGTGCTCCCACCTTTGCCAACTTGCACTGACCAGTACGATGAGGTGTGCCCAAATAACCCCCACGACCTGCACAGCATAGGGGATGCCATTATCCAGCTGTGGATTGACAAAAGGGCGGTAGACGTACGTAAGTAAGGATACGTTTTTCTTTCTGGACAGGTGCTGTCAGAGCTCTGTGAAGAGAATGGGTTGGTGTGCACGGAGCCTACGGTGTGGGTGCTGCACTACCTCAACACGTGTGATGCCAGCTGCGAGAGCCGCGTGCTCGGCTTGTACGTGAACAAGGCCGACGGCGTGCAGGCCATCGAGCAGCAGCTGGGAGGCAGGCTTAAAAGCAAGACCATCTTCAAACGGTCAGGACACTGCCAAACGCGGTGTACTTTCGTGAAAAGATAAACGATAAGCTTAGCTCGACCACAAAACAAGTGTTGTTACATTCAACACAACTGGTGTGTCATCACATTAATGCCCACAACAATATTGCCTGCACATTGCATTGAGCCGTTGTTGTTTTAGCCTTGCTGCAGAAGGTGGTGTGCTACGATTAAATTGCTGGAACGAATGTTTTGAATGTCAGTGTTTGTTAGCTAGATGTACTCCTAGTTGTCTGTTTTGTACACGACATAAATGTGCCCGTGCACATGCAACATTTTCTTAAATAAATGTCTATGAATGTTCCTTGTGTACCAGGGAGTCCGGAAACAATCTGCAATACATCTGGAGCTATTACACGGCTGTTGAGTTGAAAAGCATGATGGATGCATTCGGCTCCTGGGAAGGAAGGGGTATGTCTCAACATATATATGCAATGTGCTCACTATAACTTTGTTAATTTCACCTAATGGCCTCTTAAGTAATTTATTGTTCACTTGGTTTTTTGCTTTGGCTAAGAAATTATGATTCTGCTGTAACAAGCAAATTGAATTAAAACCTAATTAGATTTTAGTGTTGGCAAGTTTACAGTATTTCTACTTTCGTACATCTGGCGGAAAAAAAATACAACCTAATGATTTTTTGAAATATTTTTCTTAATCGTATAGTATAACAAATATGGTTAATTTGTCCATTGTTGTAACCATTTTTGAAGCATGAAGCAGTTCAATACTTTGATGGGAGTGAATACATTTCAAGAGCAAATTTTTGGGGGCCAGCTTTCAAATAGAGTGTGTGTCCCATACTGTTATGACTGAGGTCGGTTATGGACATTCAGTTGCCGATTTGATGTTATTTGTTGCTTTCCCACATAAACGCGGAAGATCACCGCGAAGTTGTCACCGTCTTCCCCTGTCCCATGCATTAGGTATCAGCTACTGGCGGCTGCAGCGTGAGTTGGTGGAGTGTTGGACCCTTGAGGGTCGGACCCTGAGAGCTCCCAATGAAACGACATCCCCCATTCCCAAGAGGTGAGCCCATTATGCACAGTGCCTTGGCAACGGCTGGCAGTGTGTTCACCACTTGCCAGCAACAATGCTTGTTTTTGTGGTATTTTTTTACTCTGCAGTGCTGTGTTAAAAAAATATGAAGGAGTGTTTACATTTTTTTCTGACAATGTTTTGTACTGCATTGTACAATGGCTTATGTTAACACATATGCATGCTTCAAAAGGCTTATTAGTTTCATATTTCTATGTAGTAATATAATCTGTCAAATATATGTGCATACATGTTATACAAATTTTATATGTGTAATTGCACCAGCATTTCTGGCTTTTGGGTGGTGTTGGTTTAAACGTCTAATGGGATTTTTTTTTCCCTCCTGAGTGTCACTTTTGCTATTTGTTTCAACCAGGAAGTGTATAAATGTGAAAGTAGAGGATGGAAGAAAACCAATCAGAGTCTCCGGCTCATCCACCTCCACAAAAATACGAGTCACTGGCTGCAACGTAAACCTTTTGGGCAGCAATTCCTCGGTCACCAAAGGGAATGTAATTTCCCTGAAACGAAAATCACCTGTGGTTGACAAACCAGCTGTGCCAATGTCCCCTCGAATTACTGTAGCTCCTACATCTTCCACGTCAGATCAGCGAAACCAAGACGTGTCAGTACGGCAGCAACCGCTGAAAACACATACGAGTAGGGCAGACGTGTTGGAAGGTACGGCGCCAAGGTCTGGAGCACCCACACGGGTGATCAAGATCAAGAGGATCCAATTCGCGAAGGCCACGGAACAGCCTGGCGAAGGCAATGTTGAGGCCGCTGAACCGCCATATGCCAACCAGTCTGGCTCCCCAACAAATGAAACCAACAATGTACCTCCAGCTTCTGATGCTACAGATGAGCGGACTTGAAAACATCGTGTTGGTTTGATTAATGTTGTGTGAATACCATTAGTGTCCAGCAGACCCTGAAATTGTAGTGCGCGCTGATACTGGTAATGTTTTAAAATAAAATAATGCGAATGGACTAACCTGCGTGGCAAATTCTTTATGTATCATCTTTGAGACACGTAACTTTTATTTGCTATTGTGTGCAACAAGTTAGGCACTGTGCTAAACAAACCTTATTTTCACGTGTATTAATTTACCACAGGTTATTTCGGCAAGGTGGATAATGCAGAGAATAGAGACTTGTGAAAGGTAACTGCGTCACACATTGCCAAACATTTATAGGTGACAGTGGCAGTAACAACACTACGGTATTCGTGTTCACTGATCAACAGCAGAAATCAAGTGCTGATTATTGAAAGTTCGTGCCTCTGACGGTGCAGGCTCGTATATATGCAGTGAACATTTTGCCTGGGTTAACAGGGTGCTACTCATTTGCATGCACTTTGTTTTGTTTTTAAATTAAAACAAGTATATCACACCAGTGATGCACAGTTCAGAAAGTATAATGACTAAAAAGGTGAAGTGGTATGTCTTCATTTGCAAGGTCTGTGGTTTGTATTTGGAAAGGATCATTTCGGGTGGCTAGTTTTTATATGATGCTCAAATGGCCATGGAACCATTTGTTGCCCCATGACAGAGAAGGCATCACATTCATCCACTTAAGGGCTCGCGTCTAGTAAATTTTCAGTGCTTGAAGGCTTATTTTTATGTCTTGGTGGATGTGTGGTGACAGACCATGTTGTGCAAGGTGAAGCCTTTGTAGACCTTTTGGAAAATTTACATTGCACGTCTATATTTGCACCAGCAAAGCCTGACTTGAGAATAGGTCTCAAATGGGGTTAGACCAGAGGACACCAAAAGTCTCCAAAGAAAGCTGTCTCTGGTGTGGACCAATCAGTAAAAAAAACAATGCATATTTTATCAGTATGTTTTTTTTTTGCATTCTGACCACAAGTGTTGTGGTTAATGCAGACATGACTCCTTGTAAAAGGTTTCAGTTTGGTGTTTTAACATCTGTTGCCAGAAAAAAGGGGAAAACCTATTATATTTTGGTACTGGCAAAGGAGGTCCCATGACAAAACTTGACTTGTTTAATTCAGCCACGTGTTGATTTTTATCAACCTGTAGCCTTTCAGTAACTAAGGCAAAAGCTTACAGTGGGAAAAACCAGCACAGCAAACATACATGTTTATACAGCATCATACGACAGCACTGTCGTAAAACACTACATATTGGGCAAATGAGAATATAAATGCATACAAATACATGTTATGGGATGCATTAAACTGGTTAAAGTCGGTTGTAAGGTTTTTGTGTAGTGATGGATACATGTCACATTGACATACAACGTCTAAAATCCTTTGCACCATTTTATTTACAATAGCGTTGCTCTTCGTAGCAATGGGTGGTTGGATACATTTTGTTAAAGCTTTTATGGAATAGGGAGTTGTTAGACGAGGTGAGTCATCCGAGGGGTTTTTCCTCGCTGGGTGGCGAATGCATCCAGGCACTGGCGAACTCCCACGTTAAATGAGGTGACTCAAGGTGTCTTGTCTGGTCACACATGAGTGGGGAACACATACAATGGTGTGCTATCTAAAGCGGAGGAGCATTTGCGCTGCACACCTGCCTCTCAGGCTGAAGTAATCCTGGCCAGGTGAATGGTTGACATAATAGGTCCACATCCTGTGTTCGTCTCCATAGCTGCACTAAACAAATTAGATAATTTTAATATGTTTGCAACCACTGGATTCATGTTTATTTAATGCAATAGTTTGTGTTTATGAAACGCTAAATTATATCTGGATTATATTTTGAATTTAGTTACGTAAATGTATGCCCTCGGTGAATTCGTTGAGTGAAGTGCGGCGTGACTGAGTAGGTTATGCTCCATCCCTTAAAATAAGGCAGTTTTATACGCTGGTGGGGTGCTTGCCAGTGCATTGCAGCCAGGGACCAATGTTTAATACGTTTAACTCTTGACCCCAACATGTCAAGGCAAATCTAATTTACCACTTCCCCTGAGCAGACTTAAGGAGGGCCTGGTGGTTGGTCTTCATATCCCACTCGACGCGTGTTACATTATAAAATAACAACGAGCGTGGGGTGGGGCATGGGTCCTCATTTCGCAGAGCTGACGAGTCTGCGTCATTTGCAATCGCCCTCGCCAGTTGTGAATGACTGAATGGCTTACAGGTGAACGCAGGCAAGGTTTGATGCCAGTGAATTATCATGTGTTAGAATAGGCTTGGCCAAGAACACACAAAAGGTACAGAAAATGTCATCTTGATGTCACTGTATTGTGCAAGTTCAGATAAGTTGCAACCTAAAAAATATATCATTTGTGTACATGCCAAAGCCGCCGTGTCTTTGGTTGTGCAGTCCGATTTTGATACGTTTTAAACTTTAGGGTTATGTTTGTGTTCCTTTACAGCACTGCAATGATGTCTCTTCGACGTATGTCATTCATCTCAATTTAAAATATAAATAATAGAGCTTGAACATTGTGTCAGACACGCAGCCTTTAGTTGCGTGTATACATGGTAATGTTTTTTTCTTACGTCATTAATTCGTGATATATTTATGGGTTTATTTTTTATTCTGTCATCAAGTGACTGCATTTGATCACAAGTCATACATGGTCAGGCCTAAACCAGCTCATGACTCCTGACCTGTCCACGAGTGGGATTTGGTATTTTAAAAAAATTCTATATAACTGCATTGAGTTTCTGTAGTTATTCTGTATAACACTCCCATATCTTTTCAGTTTGTACCACGCGTTGTTCGGCATGAAGACTGGAATTTAACAGCACGTGGAGCGAAACCTCATTGGCGAACAACAAGTGGTAGAATCTGAAAACATCGGACAGCAGTTATTTTATGCTTTTTTTTTGCTTTCTCCGAGTCTTTGCTGTCAACGCATACAGCTTTGTTCTTTTCTGGAAAATTGCTACCGCAGCAGCGCGGCTTAGGCGTGCGTTTCTTTTTTTCAGACGCTAAATGGCTTGCGCCATGAGTACACACATAAGCGCTGGCTGCTATTCCATCGACCGAAGGTGAATATTAAACACGACAACGGGAATTTAATTCTCAAGGCGGGCACCGTCTCCTCGGACTTACAGGGTTCATTTAATACTGAGTTCAGGTCGCCAGACAATTTCGTCCTCGGCGTCTGCTCCTCCTCTAATCCCGCAAGTGACAAGACCAGCCCTTATCCCGGCGCTTGCATCACCTGCACAGCAACCCACGTGTTCATCGACAGCTCCCGTGTTTCATTTGCTGACCTACGGATGACCCCCCAGTCGCCCATTCCCGCACGATGCTGTCTTTTTAAAATGTATTTGGGGGGGGGGGGACGGGGGGTAGAGAGAGAAAAAGTGATACACACACACGCACACAACCGACCGGATCGATTTCACCGTAAAACCTGACGCTTAGGAAAACAATCGAGGCGTTGCTTGCTCGCAGCGTTCTCTGCCATCGCCTCTAGACTTGTGGTGACGTCAGCGAGGTTTTTATTGTTCATACATTGCGCCTCCCCCACCCCCACCACAATCAGCCGACCCCCACTTTTGCCGGTCAGGCTGTGTGAGCTGATAAGACCCCTTGCTAGGAGGTCCCGTTGCACATAAATATGAGCCGCTGTCTTATCATGCTCTGCAAAATTGTGCTAATTCAGCCTCATAACCGTAAATCCATATCTAACCAAAAACCGCTATGCCCCTTCCTTGGTAATTCATGTATATGGCGTATCGATTAATGCAACCATTAATAAAAACTACATCAAATAATTACAGACCCTTTATCGACCCACTGCTGGATGATGTTCTCATGCCGTGTTGATCATTGGGTGTATTTTATTTTTTACCATACTTCGGCACACTGCCCACTGTGCCGAAAATGGAGTGTGTGTTCAGAACCGGCTTTAGAGATCACTTACCACTTATGTGAGCTGTGACTACGAAAATTAGAACTCGGGTTGCCAGATTCGTGGCACAATGCGCTTACCACTGCACTGCTGCTCTGCCCCAACACCCGTCAACTCAGCCCTAAAACCCCACGCGTTTGGTGGCGTGATTTTTTTTCTTCTGAGCAGCTGTATTTTTCATGGCATGCTCCGTGCACCAGTTGGCCATTGTGGACCGCACGCTTTCATCACGAGGGCTTTGAGGAAAATTATCGCCATGGCGACGCAGCAGGATGAAGCGTCTGTTAACAAAACAAAAAAACATTTCTCATGCAGATGCAACCGCGTAATTATTCACTTGCCAGAAAATGTCAACCCGGCGGACACGTGCACCGCCAGGAGCACTCGCGCAGCGGCGAGATTGGTCTCTTTACCACCTTTTGTTTTTATATTTTGTACCATCAGGCCACTCGACAGGACATTTCAATAAACTTTAACAGGGCGCCTTGCCTGAGTGTATGAAAGCAAATTTACGTCCATTTCGATCATAAATTGACAAACGAATATGATGTTGTCGGTGAAAGGTTTTTGAATAAATGGAACGCCACATACGCTCTGTGTAATTATGCCTTCAGCTCGGCTGAGAGCTTAGTTTTCTAGCAGTCCAAGCCATCACGTCGAACCCTGCATGTACCTCCTAGTGATTTTTAAGGCTTAGTCTCGCCTTACCACTTAAATGTTACAGTTTCATACTTCAATCTTCGGACTCTCGTGTTTTTATTATGAAGCGGCGGGTACAATGGGACGATTTGAGATGGGATTGGGCATCTGAAGTGGAAGGTACCAAGGTGTGAACAATGCAATACCCCCACTGGCTGCCAACGAAGGTCACAGTGTTCGTGATAAATTATTAACATGAGGGTAAATATATATTCTTTGGCTCTTTCGGTAAAGTCACGAAGATAGGTTCAAAGAAAATAACAAAAGCCATTCACCATTTCTCACGATTACAACTGGGACACAACTGGAAAACACTTCACATATACCTCGGGCAGTTATTGAAGGTGGGCCTGGGATCCAATCGACGAAATAAAAATGCGAGCGCGAACGTTTGGAGGTACATTTCTAAAACTGAACTTGATCATAAAAATAAACAGGCACTTACCAATGTCACTAAAGAAGAAGAACAACAAAATGTAATATCCTGCTATAACATGGCTCAGAAACGTGTACATGGACAAAGAACACGTGCATTAACGTGAGTCTGGGCAGGGCCAGTCGCTGTAAGGTAGGAAAGAACGCGGCTGAGAATGTCGACCACGAAAATGAACGTGGAGATTAGCTCGTGTGTGGGATTTAGATTGTGTCATCGCGGCTCCATCAGAGACGGCGACAGCTTGGGGAGACATTCGTGGATGGTCACGATTAATCAAATGTAGAGTTATTCCTAAACTAGAATGTTTTGTTCAGAGACCACGGCGTACAGGAAGAAAAAAAACTGACATTAAAGTGTAAGCAGTACCGGAATCAGCCCCTCGAAGAATTGTAAAGGGGCCGTCCATAAATGACGTAACGCGATTTTGGACGATTTTTGACCGCCCCCCCCCCTCGTCACACGGCGTCACAAAAAGTCAGACCCCCTCTCAAATATGACGTCACAAAGCTCTGCCTCTCCCCCGCAAAAAAATATAAAACATGCTTCAAATAGCTTTAAACTATTGTCATTGTAGTGCGTATTTAATGTGGCGCTGCTCTCTAATGTTGTAGGAGAAAACATTTATTAAAAAGTATATTTAATTAAGTAGAACGTGACGTCACATTTCTCAACCCCCCCCCCCCTCGTCACACATCGTCACGAATGTCTGACCCCCCCCCCCCCCAGGTGCGTGACGTCATTTATGGACATCCCCAAAGGAGGTGAACAATGTAACGCCGGTAAAATAAATGGTCTCATTCACTGATCAGCGATTTTCACTCACTTAAATACGGATCTATTCAAGCGACCACATTTATTTTCATATAGATCGAAGAGAGCGAGCTTCATAGCATGAAGTCACGTTGCTTCTATTGTAACACTATGGGTCCTACTCACCTGCAAATGTCGGCCTTTCGTCGATTTTTTGTTGTTGTTGCGTAAATGTTCCGATGTTTCAAGAACCAACAGCGGGAAAAGGTTAAGGGTTCAGCCCTGCATTTTCTTGCTGTTGACGGATAGGTCTCCACTGCAGTGTGCTCAAGAGAGACCCCTATTCTGGCCAACTCTTCCACATGTGCCCGACGTTGTGGGAGAAGTGGGAGTTCCACATTTGACCCCATCATGGGCGACCAGCTAATCGATTAACTGTGCCCATTGTTTCAATCGAATCGGCCGACCTCTGATTTGCAAGTCTACCGCGGGAGCTTCCCGGGGATGGGTGCAGTGGCGGTACCAAATTCGGAATTTCGCATTGCAGTGTCTTCAGACAAGATTTGAAGCGCTGTCTCTGCGTTAAGGCTTCAGCAGCTGTGCAAAGCGGTAGTGCCTGAACACCCGGCATGGATCGAATCCGCGCGTACAGAGTCGAATGAGCCAGTGTCAACGTGCACATCGCTCTGGGGAAGCTACAATCCCCGCTCTCCCCAGTACTTTTGCCTATCGGACCCAAGTCTCATGCATCACATGTGGATCCAATGCTCATTAGCGAGTCTCCTAGTCGAAGATACATCACCATCCATCAACACCATCGGCACCCTATTTTGTTTGCGTGAACCTCACCAGTGTTGTTCTCGCACCATCATTTCGGTTAAAAATAAAACGTGCAATCTGCGCTACAATGCTTGGCATACCCTCCCACACCAATGTGTAATGCACACGGATATATATACTGTATAATTATACCGCGAGAAGTGGGCGGCGTGGCTTAGGCGCGCATAATGGTTAAGTCCGACTCGGCGCATGATGTCAGCTGCTCATACAGGCGCCGCTTGGATACCGGGTCCCCGGCTTTTTTGTTAGCGCAGGGGCTCCATAAAAGGGTTATAATCGTAAGAGGCGGGGCTGGTCGGGCACCACTCCACGGCTCGTTCGTTGCCGCAAGATACATGTCAGGTTTTTTTTTTTGTCACACCAGCTCGCATCAACCCGACGACGCTCAGTTTATGTCCACGCTGTGTTAGTGCTACTGGCCAACCCACCCCTCCTCCTCCTCCGCTTCCCTCCCCGCAAACAGCCACAGCCCCTAACCCATCCCCCGAGCACCACCGCTACCACCCCCACAATTATTTATTTAATTCTCTTTTGTTTTTATAATAAAGTAACACAGATCACCAGCGGTGCCCTGCGCGCTAGCCGCGGCGACGTGAGGATGTAATGCGCCCTGCCGCTGTGTTTACTTCTGCGTTCGTGGAGCGCAGAGAGGTTGACCCAGTGCGAGAGACACCGTCGGGTCTCCGGGACCCGTGCCCGGTCCGCGTGGATGCGAGATTAGCACTTTTTATTTGATGGCTGCACCCAGAACATTGGACCAAGATGCCAGTGATGAAAGGATTGCTTGCCCCGCAGAATACTTTCCTGGACACGATTGCAACGCGGTTTGATGGGACACGTAAGTCAAGTGTGCGTGGTTTTTTTTAACGTTGGTTTTTGTTTTGGGCGGGGATGTTTTATGTATTGTTTTGTTGTTTTGCTTGTTGCTTTGCCATTTTTTTTACAGCGCGTGCGCAAGTTGCAAACAACAGCAGCAGCAACAGCGAGACTGAACGTTTAAGTGTGAAACGTGAGCCTGCCGTACTCAATAGCAGTGCGTGTTTGTAATTCTACAGTAAAAGCTGAACTATAGTGGGGTTTTTTCAAAATGTGTAAAATGTTAAGATAATTTCGCAGACCTTCGTGTTTACACGCACGTCGCGTTTTATTGTATGCCCTGTCATTGCTGGCAATAGTTGATGCACATGAAGAAATGACTGGTCAATGGTTTTTCTTTCTTTATAAATGCCCAGATCGCGTTTCCGTTGCTGACACGTTACACAAAACGAAATGCCATTCATTATTGAAACCGTGCAAGTGGACAACGAAGGGAGCGGTATGCTAATGAGTCACCCACAGACGTTACCATGTTTTTTTGTGCTGAGCTTTGCAAGTCCCCCCGTGCTGTAGCCCTTAAGTGGCCATTGGCGTTCGCATTCAGTACCATGGATAGCGCCCGCGCGGTGCGGCGGTTATACAGTGTGCAACGATATTGCCCAATCTGACTGCGTGCAGTAATACCTACTTTTGCTGAAATATCTCAATGGGGGTAATAACATTAGATGCTCGCGTTGTATCTGTTGAGCCCTGGTTATTACACTAATGTAGTGCGTTTTTGTCATTAATATTGGACGACGCGTACTGTTGCAAACATTATTGACACTCATTCGCCTCATTTTAGGTATGCACCGTCATCGTTTTAATATTATACGTTTGGCAATAACGCGTTTGCTGGCTTGTGATGGGCAATAACTCACGGCAACAGTAGGACACGATCAGAGACTAAGTTATTTTTGTGTCGTGCATCTGTTTGTCCAGCCAGAAAAATGTGGGTTCCCAAACCCTGCTTATTACAGAGGCCAGCAATGCACGAGATAGCCCCCGTGTGTGCTGTCAAGTCTATAAATGAGCAGCGCTTTGGAAGCGAAACGCAGACTCCATCCCCCCATCCTATACCCTAACCCCGACTGTTTCATCCGCATCCATAGGGAACCCAAGGCGGTCGTGGTGCATTGTTTATCGATGCCTGGTCACGGCCAGATGATGGCCATTCACGCGAGGACATTAACCCATCTCCACCAAAGCACGTTCTTGCATGTGATTACCCAAATAGCTCCTGGCTTCGCTTAAGTATAACCAGCATGCAATGCAGGCTTTAACGTGAATGTGCAGTATTGTTGGGATGTCGCTTTGACATCTAAGAGTTATGATCTAGAACCATGTTAATGTGTTTTTTTTCTACTTTTGTTTAATATCTTCTGCTGCTGTGATTGAAAAAGACTTTTGGGTTTTCTGCTCGTTTAAAAGGCTCCTCGTCATCCAATGCGTTCACAGGGGTGCGTGGTGTGCGCATCGCTGATTGCTCCAACGTGCGTGTCTGTGTTTGTCAGTTGGCTCAGCTCTGAAAACACAGTACCGCATCACCGTTGACTACATGTTATTGTTGGGACATTTTCTTATATGCGAAATGAATGTAAAATCGCACATTAGTACACCTGCACTAAAAATTAAAACTGTTTATAATGACGCTTTTGAATGGGATTTCATCATTTTTGCCAGCATCTAATTATTCCTGGTTCATCAGTGTTTCATTTACCGCACCGCTGACTCGTCTGAAAAGTGTTAAGGGTGCGTTCAAGTGAATTGTTTAAGCGTGCAAACACCTCACCTCTCCGATCTGCCCTCTATTGTGCTGCCATCTGCTTTCAGTCTTAAAATGTATGGCAGGACATGTATACAATGCCCCTATATTGATGCAGTCTGAAGCATGCAAAGGATATCTAACAACTCATTCGTGACTGTGACATTTGGAAATTAGATATCTCTTCAGTACATTGTCGAAACATGCCTGGTTACCAAAATCCATTATATTATTCACTGCAGCTGAAACTATCTGTGTAACAAAACATAACAGTGATTTAATATCAAGTCTTAAAAAGAGCTTGCAGCATTTTGCAATCCAAGTTTTGAAAGATGTATTATGAATGGCCACTCAATTGAAATGCAAAAGCTTCAGGTTAACCATTTTTAGGTAAGGAGGTGTTCTGTTCACAGTGTATTTTAAGTATTTGATAGCGTTTCAATCACTCTGGCATCACTATAACACGATGGCCTCGTGATGAACAACATCGGTACTGAATTGCAAACTAGTCAGGCAACAAATGAGAAATTACCGTTTGGTAAATTACATTTTAACGTGTTAAACATATATAGAAACGAACTCTATCACAGGTGCACCAAGCATAAATTCAACTCTGAACGATAAAGCAGTGTGCCCATACACCTAATACAGTACATCATTGTCTCTTGTAACGTAATTATTCAGAATGGCTATTAGGTCTTGTGTTGTACCCTAATAGAGTAAATTAGCACAATGGAAAGGCAGCACCTTGTTTGTTGATGCAAGAGGGACCGTATAGTGGGAGAGGGTGGTGGGGGACTGCCGTAGAGTAGATAAGATGTTGTTGATTGCGGGGTGAGCAAGGGCTTTTGGAGTATTGTGCTAAAAATCGCCATTGGTGCACAGCCGAAATCCACACTGCAATGCCTGAACCACAAAATGCCGCAGCGTTGACACTGCAGCTTTGAGTTTTTTTTTCTCCCTTCTGATATAAACAAGTCAGTGTGTCTACTGAAGCTACATGTGCCTTTATCCCAGAAGACAGTTTCACTGCAGATCTGTTCATTGGAGTGCACGGCTAATAGTGCAGCCCAGTCGCAATGGGTCAGTGCAACAACATGCAGATTTAATTAAGAATTTCGTAAACCAGGTTAATTTGCTCGAAAATGACTCATGGGCTTACTTGTCTGATTGGGGTGGCTAAATTACCATTATAATTTCTTAACCTTAGCCAATTTTGATTGTAATATGTATGTTACATAAGCTGTAACTCTATTGCAGGCGAGTGCAGATTTCACTATAGCAGAGTTACATTCTACATTAAATAAAGTATTGTGGGAGGTGGCTGGAGTGACTCAGAGGTTAACTGGAGCTGAGGTGTCACCTCTGGAGTTTGGTTAGAATCCAGGCGGCCACCTATGATTAAACTGAGTTGTGAAGTCATTTTGGCTGGGTTTGCCATTGAAAAATAACTTATTGACTCAATGGGCTTAACCCTAAATAAACGGACTGACTGATTGTCACGGTTGGCTACGTACGATGGGTAAGAAGCTCAACATAGGTACATATATGAAGTGTAGTTTGTTGATGGTTTCAGCCTAGTTACCAATAAATGCACAAAAAATAATGTCAATTTTATTTTGCACTTATTTTGCCTAATTTCCAGGTGAGGAATGTTTGTCATCTGATAAATATAAATCTGTAGCAGGACGGGTGGGAAAGTGCTTCCCTCCATTGTGTACATTAAGATCACTTGACGGGATCACAGAGGAAACTCTGTGATATTCTCTTTCATGGACCATTCTCAAGTACAAAAGGTTGCACTGCTCGCTCTGCGAGAGTTTTTAATCTCGTGCCATGACGCCAATAGCACATTGAGGATGAATTGTGAGAGAAATGTTTGATAGAAAGAAAGAAGGCACAGCGCTTTTGAGTGCATGCTCACAACCTTTAGGCATCAAATTATCTTTATAGAGTATGTTTAAAGAAAACAAACTTTCAGTCGGTCAAGCACGACAACAATATTATTAACATTAACTAGAAAGACCCTAGATGTTCCCTCAATGCCCCCGAATATTTTTGGTGCTCTAAGAGACTTGTGATATATAACACACTTTTCTTATACTGGTAGGAACCTCCTGGTTACACCAGCCCACAGGGGATTATTGTGTCCGTCTGTCTGTCGTGCAGGGAGGGGCTGGGTGGGGAGGGAGGGGCTGGGTGGGGAGGGGAGGGTGGGAGGGGCTGGGTGGGGAGGGTGGGGCTGGGTGGGGAGGGTGGGGAGGGGCTGGGTGGGGAGGGTGGGGAGGGGCTGGGTGGGGAGGGTGGGGCTGAGTGGGGGGTTGGACAGGTGGGGCTGGTCACCCCGTGGTGCCCTTATAAAACTCAACGTTTAACCTACTCACGCCGGCTTGTGCCCGCCCTCACAGTCGGGCATATTTGCGGAATACACCACGCCGCCGTTGACCCTGGCCATTGACCGAGTAACCCAACGTTCCTACCAGCTCCCTCCGCAGGAATGTGTTTATATGTAGCTTGTACCAAATGCAAATGCCCGTCTATGACAGTGATATTAAACTACAATGATTTATGTTATTTATAACATCAAACGTTGTGAAATCTTTTTTTTTAATACCATTGAGTTTGGTAAAGTTTAGATTACCTTTGAAACCATACTCAGGCTATTATGGTATTCATATTATACACACTTGATGGAGTGAATGAAACAAACACAGGTGCACAGGTGCAGTGACAATATCCCTAAATATACAAAGAAACACTGTGAACATAGTATCCATTCTATCATTGTGTATGCTGCAGTAATACCTTGCTAACTAACAATGGGCCGGGATTTACAGCGATCATTGCAGATGCAGAGCTGTATGCCATGGAGAATCCGAATCGTAATACTGCTGTCAAAACAGAAACAATTGAGCGTTAGCAGCATGTGGGTCACACACCCACCTTATAGTCGTTTCCCCCCCAGTTTCATGCTACATGTTGGCTAGTTATAGTTGTCTTGGTGATCCGTAAAAATGAACCCGTAAAAACAAAGTTTTTCACTATAAATCCTTTATATGCGTGGCATCGGTTTTATTTTATTATTCATTTCTGTTTTTCTTGAGTAAGAGTTTCATTTTTATCACATTGGTATTTTAAATTAAATATGAATTTATTTGTTTTCCTAAAAAGTGGAAAATTTTGGAATTTTTTTTCACGAAAATAAATTGTCACGCACA